CAGCGCCCCCGCCAGCGCCCCCGCCAGCGCCCGCGCTCCCGCCCCTGAGCGGTTGTTGGGCGACGCGGCGCGACGCGATAACCCCCGCCCTCCACCGCGCGCTTTACGAGCGGGGGCGGCGCCCGCTCCAGGGACACCGAAGCGCGGCCCACGACGCACAGTGCTACGACTTCTCGAGGAAGAATTCCAACTGGTCAATAATAAATGCAAAGAGGATCGTGCACATCATCGTAAATTGAAGGCCTTGTTCCAAAAGTGATGCATCTCCATTAAACACAATTTTTCACCGAGGAAAAGTATTCGTATTTAGCCGTCCTGCTCAAGGAAGAATTGAATATTTATCTGATAGTGCTAACATGGGAGAAACGCAATTTTTAATAAAATATTTGGCAACATTATCGAAAATATAAGTAATTGATACGTTAAGCTAAAAACCCAACGAAAATGAATTTACGTCACTTTAGAAATACGCTCTTCAATTAATGTACAAACGAGAACAAAAATATTTTATTCACGAGACAATTTGGCTCACGAAGTGATGGCAGGAGCCAAATAATTTTCACTGATTTAATGTATGAATCGAAATATTTAAAAAAACTATTTAAACAGTTTAAAAGTAGTTTCATACATGATTGATCCAGTGCGATTACGCTGAAAGTAAAGACCTGTCGGAAAGTTGCGAAAGAAAAGTATTATTCAAGCCTTATACAGGAAATTAAAACTCTGAAAAGTTATGTCCAATGTCGTTTAGTAGTTACTTTACAAGGCTAATGAAATGGAAGGCTTATAAATTCCGGAACAATATAACTACTAAACATTTTGAACACAAGAGTTACATAAACATATTTTCTAACAACATCATGGAAATGTCTTATTTTTACCAATATACCAGTGCACAGTCCCAGTACACATTTAACAGTATTTATCAGTACACCACAAATATCTGTACATGATTTTTATGTACTTTAGCCTGAAATCCTGATATCCACTAACTTAATAACGTAATGCACAACATATAATTATAATATTTTATAATAAAAATAATAAAAGATATTTCGGAATATTGCTGGACATTGCACTTATATGCTCTCACTAATTACGGCATTTAAAAACGCTCATTTATCTTTCAACGTTCACTATGAAGATTCTATGAACTCGCCTTGAACTCACTACAAAACAGTTCACTGTTATCAACAGATCAATTACAACACACTAAATAAAGACATAAAACTGGCCACAGAAAGATTGCAGCGCTAGAAATTGCAAAAACACTGAAAATTTTGAAAATTTCTTAGTTTATGAAAATTTCTTAGAATGGCCTGGGCGAATTCGAAAAAAAAAATCATCAGACCCCCCCACTGGGAAACCGAGACACGTTCAATGCCACCTTAATTGTCTCGATTGTAGGACGGGAAGTAGTCTAACCGTAAGTGATGAACGGATGCATGTATACTATATAAGGATGTAGTATGTTTTGAAAACGGCCTAATGAACAAACGATGGCAGGTAAGCTTTCATTCTATTAATTTTAAGGTGTCTTTAAAATGTATGTTTACTATAAAAGGGGTAAACATGAGCTAGTGCTAACGCGTCTTCGCTCCGCCTTTCATTTAACCAAAATAAAAATCACGAAATTTGGTTAACAAGAATGTTCAATTTTTTTCTGGACGACAACCCTTGTTTTATTTAGAATAGAAGGACGCAGAAAATCGTCATTTCCTCACTAGCAGAGTGAGATGCGTTGAATTGCGTGCCCTAAATGATAGGCTTTGATTGGGCGATCGTGATAGGTGGAACGGGTGAAATCGAGGTTCAGGGATAGACGGACGGTCAGAAAGAGGGACAGACGGGCGGATGGACGGGCGGATGGACGGGCGGATGGACGATCGGACGGACGCATAAGCAGTTTATTCTTTTACTGTACAAGGATTAGAGTTGAATATTTGCTTTCTCACTACCGCTTCGGAATAGAGGGAAATGTGTGTAATGGTGAACGAAAAAACGGAGAATTTTCGTCAGAAAAACTTATTTCAGGCCCTAGAGTGCATGAGAAAATGGATAAATGCAGTTGCTACATTTAGAAATAATCTTCAACACGTGATGTAGGCAGAATCCATGTTTTTGGGTCCTTGATACCGAAAAATGGAATGACGGCAAAACGTCAGTCCGTGAACAATGCTAACGGCTAAACCGTTCATTCGACTTTTTTTCAAAATTGATGTGGTTGCCGTCGCGGTCCCCGAATATGAAACCGATATTTCAATTTTCAGGGGTACTTTACATAAAGCTCCTGGGACATTTTCAAAACTTTCAAAGTGTCTTCATCGTTTTCGATTAAATGTTGTTGTCAGATAGTGTTAAAGACGTTTAAGAGCATGGTGTAGGTCTCATATTCGTTAAAAATTCGTTTTCTTTAAAAATTGCAATTTTTTAAAAAAAAATATCGGTGCTTTCTTACAACTACAATAATGAAGAGAGGTATTTTTTTCTTAATGAAATCTGTTTCTTGATTATTTTTTTAATGAGGCCATCTTCAATTTTTCGAAAATTTGAGTACTTTTTGCGTACTTTTGCGTCAAAATACGGGCGAGAAAGTACGTGCTTCCTTAGCACCACACATTCTTCACGGAATGGTCATCATATATTCAAAGATTTATTTTGCCAACCCCCCCCCCTTCGGCCCACTGTGCATCCGCACGTCCCCGTGGCGCGGCGCGGCGGCAGTCGTGAGCCCCTGTCTGTCTGGGCGATCGAGCAGATCCGCTTTAGGAAAGGATCCGGGCTTCGCGCTCGCCTTTCAGCTCTCGCCTGCGCCCTCTGATAACGAACGGGCCTTTCCACGCGCGGCGCGATTCGCTCATTCGGCACCAATGCTAAAGAGAATCGCAACTAATCCGAAATAATTTGGATCGCGATCAATGCGGGTTTGTGACATTTAATTTTTAAATTCATGGAAATCTAATACGCATTAGGGAATGCACCATCTGAGGTAGCTCAGTGGCAACAATCTTTGGCTTTCCACCGTCTCTGGAGAGGAGGTTCCTGAGTTCGAGTCCGGTCAAAGGTGTATTTTCGATACCACGTGTAGAGCTAGTTCGAATACAATCGCTCTTTGGAGGAGAATTCAAGCTACTGGCTACTTTGATCGATAGTTTTTCGTGGTTTCTCCCATCAATAAATGGCGAATACCGGAATAGTACCCTAACAATCGATCCACGGACAGTACGCGATTTTTTGTTCTTCCTTGTCCTATCCTCGCCCCTGACTTACACACACTTACACTTACATACAAATTAGGAGATCATTGGTCACTTAGAGTTCATCATGTGTGGGTCGGAGCCCTGATGGGGAAGATATCAGGAGGGACAACCCTGCAAATTAAGGGAATATAGCCGCTGACATATCAGGTTGTACGTAGCGGAGGAGGAAACCGCCATCTCCCGACTATAATATGCACAACACTCACGACACTAATGACCAAAGTAATTGGCGCACACGAATACGACTTACTCATTACGTATGACGTTGTGCGTGAAGCTTCATGAGTCAGGACGACCTAGATTTAGCACCCGACTGTGACGGGCTTTCGACAGCAGACAAGTAGCTGAGTCCAAAATCAATACTTCCTCGATGCAAAATCCGCTCGTCGGTTGCTCTGATTGTTCTCATGGTCCCCTCCAATCTATTCCAGGTGAATGGCGAGGCTTAAACGAAGCCATGAACCACTTGCCATCCTTCCTTCTCCCCTCTGAACTGCAACATGATCCTTATGGACTGATCCCACAGACAAATTTCCTATTTGGGGGTAAAGAGAGAAACAGAACAGAGTGAAAATGTAAGTAACGTACATACAGTTGTTATAAGAATGAAGCTCAGTGCATTATTTTTAAGCAGGAATTGAAAATTTCATTTTACACACTATTACCATTTCTTTTTGTATAATTTGATTACTTACAGTCACGATTTTTAAAATATTGGAACACAATTTAAAAGTGTTGTTTTTTACAATTTTAAAATGTATGTCGTTCATTTGATTGTATGATTTGGAAACCTTTAACTTTATATTGTTTGTCAGATTCTGATTCCTTTTTTTTTTCTTTCTTTCACGAGCATAATTTCGATTCTTTCATTTTCCAAAACCATTTGAGTCGATCCAGGACGTTCAGATTCTGGATAGTAGATTACTGTATGATAAGATAACTGAAATACGCATGCAGATTAAGGTAATACAGCAAACAATGTCTTGAAATCATTTTGCAACAACACAGTGTTAACACAGCAATATGTCTAACGGGGAATTTCTAAAACGAGTCTATTATTTCAATTTCACATTTTCACAATTTCACATAAAATTGTGTGTGTTCTTTCAGTCGTGAAAATATTCCACATATATTAAATTCACTTTATTTTAATAGATTTGTCATCAATAAGTCTCTAAACAACAAAACTTTACAAAAATGAATAATCACTTTTCCCAAGCACACTTTTGAATTTTGTCATCTTCTAATAATATTTTTTTTGAAATCATCTTCCTTATAGTGTTAAGTGTGGAGGTCTATGTTCTTCCTGCAATTCTGAAGAACATAGAAATTGAATGAAATCGTCCCTCTGTAAGTTGGACCTTCCAGGTTAATCAATTCCATTTCTTTCCTTTTAAAACTACTACCTGTTGTCCAATTACTGCGACGGTAACTCTGAGTCATTATTTCTCTCTCATTATCCACGTTCTTCGTAACCAAGTGGTAAGTCAGTCTCCTGGGCGTTGGTCGTGTCTGCACCACGAGACGGCGCTCGGCGACCGCGCAGCTGAGGGACGGCTCGCAGCCCCAAACGCGGTGTCCGACACCGCCTCCAGTAAATTTACACGCGTCCTTTCTTTGTCCCGTGAGCGGTCCGACGGCACAGTCCACCCGTAAATCGCCGCTGAGCTGCACTCCGTCAGCACCCGGAAGTGACGCCCGAGCTACTGGTCCACTTTACGACGACAATAGCATAGCGCCTTGCCGAGGGTGTGTTCCCGTTCCAAGGGGCATTCAAATGTTATGCTCATTAACATGTGGTGTTATGATTTGCAATTTAACGTTTATTGTTTGCACATGATTAGTAAATCTTTCAAATGTTTTCGCATCTCCGTTGGAAAAAATCTTTTGGGTTCCTCTCTTTCTGTGTTCAGAAGAGTAAAGAGAAAACTAGCTATTATTTCATTAAATCCAACATTATTTACTAAACAAAATTGCATTACTATTACCTAAATTAAAACCATTGCATTTCCAGGCATACTCCTATTTTTAAGTTCACACTTTTTTTTTTGCGGACCTAAATTTTACATACATTTTATTCTGTATTTCAACTATTTTCAACCGCCGGGTAAATTATCTTTACCTGCGCAGCAAATAAATTGTATCAATCAACTCGTGTAAAGAAAATAGCATCAAAACAAATAACAAATATTTCAAATGATTTCAAATATTTTAAATGAATCAGAAGTTGATTGAAACGCCAAAAGCTGTGAACATTTAGTCAGTATTTTAATGCACGATCTTCATCAATATGAGAACATTTAATTATTACCCAAAATGTAATCATTAATGATTATCTGATTTATTTTATTAAATGATATGGTGATTATGAAGAAGTTGTAGAAAAAATAATAAAATGTCTAAAAGTAATTGTTCGAAACAAATAATCCAGGGGTGGATATATTGGTGTTAGAATAAGCATTAAACTTCACAGAAGAATGCAAACTTACATACGATTTATGTTTATTTCACATCAACTATTAGAATATTACGAAATATGAAATGATCCAGACACGAAAGGTGTTTCAGCAGCACCTACTCGCAAGTTGCACAACGAATGTTTCTGTAGCCGGGAGAACACAACATGCTGAAGAGAACTCGCGACAAAGTCAAATCCGACTGCGACAACGATTATCTCCCTGTCCTGAAGGATCTCGGAGAAATTACTGCCTCCCGCGACAATCGTACCTGCCACTTCGGACTAAAACAACTTTCTTTCATTGGCTCAAGTAGGCGGTAACGGTTCGGGTGATGTAAAGCTTTTTCTTGCGCCTTACGACATATTTATGAACGCGTGTTTAAGTTCCAGGCCCAGCACGTGCGCAGTACTTGGGTTCCGCACATCTTTCTTTTCTGACTTATACGTTCTTCTTTGGTGTAACAATTTGTCTTCAGTGAATAAACCGAGTCTACTAACTCTTTTCTTTAGTTGTTGGATGTTCTTAAAATTGTAGCCCCAAATGAAGAAGCAGCTGCTTACAGAGTAATCTCCGCGTGATAGTGCTTTCCTGGGTTAAAATTTAAGTTGTGAAAAATATGGGCGATATTTTTTGAACCAGATCAGAAAGTGAAATGTTTCACAATTTTAAGTGGGGTTAGCCAAGAGACGAGGTGCAAGATATGTTGACTAAAAACGAACTCCAAGCGGATTATTTTTTTCCTTTTCGATCTACGTCAAAAAGGAGCATTTTTTTAAAAAAATTATAGTTTCAAAGGACTTGATTGGAAATTAAAATTAATTATTTTATTAGTCATTCATATCAAGAGCAAGAGTCATTATAAATATGAAATTGTTTTGAAAGGTACATAAAATAATTTATTCCAGTTTCCTATTTTGTAGCCGTTTAAAATGTCAGTACATTTTGTCAGACTCAAAAATATATTAGAACTATTCAGTGCCATTGGCTTGCTTCTCTCTTCCCATTGCGTAATTACAGTTTATTAATTCCCGCATCTTCACAATTAGAAACGTTGAGCTTATTTGTATTAAAAACTTAATTGTTACTTCAAACAACAAATAAAAAAATATTGAAATGATATTTTATTGAATGGATTGATTTTCTAATAAAAGAAGCACAATGAATTTTAATAATTACAATTTAATTGATTTTATGAATGTTCAATTAAGCTACAATTTAATAATTAAACCTCCAAACAGTCTGCAGAATGAACATCTCTGAAGAAAAGCTTCATCTGACGTCATGTACCGCACCTCCTAACATCTCCTACCGCCAACGCTGGAATCCGAGTCTCACTTTTCCGTCATCGAACCCGCGCCACTGCACCAACTGCCTGGAAACCTCCCTGCGTCCCACCTCTCGGAGGCGGCGAGTGGCTTGCGCTGGGCCGTCAACCGGAATCCACTCAGCCCGGAGGCGCCGTCGCGCGCGTCCACGCCCATCTCGTCAGCATTTAATTTCGTCCTGTCAGCCGTCCGCGCGGATGACGGGAGGAGGGCGGGGCGGGGGGGCGGGGGGGGCGGGGGCGGGGGGGGGCGGGGGCGGGGCGTGCGGACGTGGTCACAGCCCCGCCCTGCGCGGCGGCACTTGTGCTTCTGACGGCTCGCGAAACGCCTCCGTGCGACTAGACCCCGCTTCGGGAGAGTTTCTGGGGGAAGTGGAAATCTGCGCTGTGAATTCGGTCGTTCAAATGAGACTACTTTATGCAGTGCAGGAACTGATGTATTGTAAGTGGTCAAGAGCCATACGGAAGAATAAACTATTAGGCTCCACCAATGACAAATTCATCACTTGTTTGTTCTTTTTTTCTGCAAGTCATATAATCCTTCCTTATTTCAAACACCCAAAACGTTAGAAACTTGTTTTATTAATTGTTAAAGACATATAACCAGCACATTCCTTTCTGTACGTCTTCAAACACACAAGGATAAAAATACGTCACACTGGAAAGGCGAAATAGAAAGACAAAAACCAATTTGATATTCGCGAACGCAGCACCCCCACTTCAAAGCGACTGCGCCATTCTCTTTGTGTTCGTCTTGTGGAGCAATTCTCAAGCGTCCGCGCAGAACTGGAGTTCGAGGAGGCCGGGGAGGGCGAGTGCCGGCAGAAAGACCGATTCCCGAAGGAATCCAATGGCTCGGCATGCCGAAGTGTTCGGAGGCGGCGCGGCGCTGCCCCAGAACCAAACCAGACATTCCGCATCCCAAGGCCACGTCTTGGGCGAGGCCGCTTCCTCCTTCCCAGATTCCTGCGCAGTGGACGCAGGGCCGCCTGTGCAAGGAGATCTGCAGCGCAGTGCGGACCGTCGCGACTCTTCCATTGCACAGGTGTAGTTTTCTTGAACCTGGAGACGTATGGTGCTTGGGGCTTCATTTGTGGCAGCCCGTAAACGTGTACTAGTGATCATTTCAATGAGATCCGTTGCGTAAGTTTTGATGGTCAGCAAACAAACATTACTTTTTATGTAAAATAAAAACAGGATTATTTCACTACTATTTTTGTATTTCAGCTTATTGAATTGTGAGAGTAATTTAAAAGATAAATTTAAGAATGTGGAAATTTTGCAATTCTGCTCTAAGAATGTTGAAAAATACGAGTTTCCAGCAATCTATTTACGTGGTTTGTTAATACCATTACTTTTTGGCAGCACATACGTATGTGAACAGCTATTTTACAGGATGAAAAATGTAACGATATCCAGAATATAATAAACAGGCACATCATTCGTAAACCCTGGCAATCACCACGCTGCCATAACGATTTCCTTATCATACTATTATTGATTGAAAATTCAAGCTTGTTACCGTATAAAATTATCTGCGTCTTTGTCAACAAAGACAAAAGTCTTAGACGACGAACCCGACGTAAAAGCTGTGACAACTTCTTTATAACGCACGTTAGCATTCTGTTACGTTTTTTCATGGGGGGGTCTAGTATTGTTTTTATAGTTCCAGCATAACATCTGTCTTAAAATTTTTGGGAGGTGATTTTTACGAAGGGTTGCATTTAATTCCTATTAATTTATCCTTTACCATAATAGTTAAAACTGCTTCTGCATAAATATTACGTCATTATAAGATTCTCACTATTAATAAGGGGCTAATTATAATCTAGGCTAATTTTTGGTATTGCTCCACCCATTCGTAGCTGCCAGCAATCGGCGTCTAAAAGACATATTTCCAGTTTCCCCATTTTTGGTCTTATAATAGTACAATAGAAATATGAGTATTAATATTATAGAAGTGTAAAACATGGTTCCATATACACATTTTCATTGATACATTCGGAGACGTCCTTTAAAAATATGTCGTTCTTAAAATGCGTAATTTTGAGATCCCTTTCACAGAAAACTTTCGCTTTTTTAAAATTATATCTGCTACAAAATTTGCCGTTTTGCGCTACTGCATTAAATAACTTTTTTCTGTAATACGTATGTAACGGAAGTAATAATGTAATGAAAAAAATAGTAGTTTCATTACTTGGGACTGAATCTAAACGAAATTAATCACTTGTAACTATTCACTGAACACTTGAGTATCGGAGTTATCTATAGTGTTATGTTTAAGGTTCTTCAAGGAACAGATTCGTATAGATTTTCCGCATCTCTTGGGTAGATTCCAGTTTCGTTAAAGGTGACGCAACCATCCCGAGCGCTAGACTTGCTTTCAGACGAAACTCTGGAGGAGCGCTGGACGAGAATCAGCTGGGAAATACGAATGAGTAGGACTCTTCCAGAGACAGTGAATCAAGATGCTTTATTGCACAACGAAACTAAGGAGGACGTAGTTGAGTCACAATGAGAACTTGCAGTTGAGTAACCCCACTGGGGTGGAACAGACGCTGAAAACATCAGTGTTACGTATAAAACAAAATTCATTATTCTTACTGAGGAAAGGTATTGGAAAAGTATCGACAACACGATCTTAAATTGTGGGCAATAAAAGCCACGAATATGTTATTTTCATCTGAAATTTTCCAACTAAATGTAGTGATTTTTTCTACCGTCCCCAAACACCAGGAGTGAACACCCAGATGTTTTATCGGTTGCTGTTATAAAACGGTTGTATATTATTGTTTGTACAAATACAATCATAAAATTAATACAATGAACCTTTATCCACTATAATTTCTTTACCGTTTCTTCGTGAGATCTACAAAAACTTGGACATTTCCTATTCGAGAAAACACGCGAGTGTGAGATCATTGTTAGCAAAGAGAGTTTTCTTAAATTCAAAGAATAGTGAGTGTATATAAACTCAATGTCCAACAGTCGTCTGACACATGTGTACTTTAACAACAAAAAAGTCAGTGATTATATTTACAAGTGGTGCCTTACGCTTTTACGTAAAGGTGAACAGCAGAATTTCTTTGCCGCATGTTGCAACAACGCACTCGTGCAGATATTTGTAAATACAATTAATTTCCTTTTTGGACAGAAACATTTTCAACATTGTGTTTAGAATTATTCATATTGTTTTCGAAATTGTAAAACTCCTTCGTTTGATTAAAGTTTAAAACTTAATATTTAACTTCCAAGTCAACGACGCGAAACAATGCTTTTGGGGTTTTCTACTTTCCGAATAGTGAATATATAAAATTTACAGTAATATCCCACATAAAACTAATTTTCGGCGTACATCCTTGCCAATCGAAATGTTAAGATAAGCCCCAACTTTTCAAGCCATTTTTCAACCATATTGATTCTTGTGGCTTGGATGTTTTCTGAATAACTTTCAATGTATATCTATAAATTATGTCATGCACTTTTTTTAAAATCCGTATAACTATTATGTAAAAACACAGAGAAGAAAAAAATGTCTATAAGGTGCGCATTCCCACTGGTTTTTTAGTTGTTCTTCAGCTTGAACATTGTCGTGCAGATTTTAGTTGTTCTACTGCTTGAACATTGCCGTGTAAATTTTAGTTGTTCCACTGCTTGAACATTGCCGTGCAGATTTTAGTTATTCTACTGCTTGAACATTGCCGTGCAGATTTTAGTTATTCTACTGCTTGAACATTGTCGTGCAGATTTTAGTTGTGAACGACTTTCTTCACGTCACTTCTTTGTTTTAAACGTATGATATTAATTTCACTACGAATCTGGGACTGCCCTTGAACAGAAAATGTTGAAGGAAAATATAAACTTCCTTTTATAAGAACGATTTTAAACATTTTTTTTTGGAAACAAAAAAAAAGAGAAAATATCTCATCCTTAGTGGTTACTTTATAACAACGTTAAATGATTCAAGTTAGTTGTGGCGTTAAAAAAAACACAGGTGTAAATAATGAAACCTTCTGTAATCATCAGAAATATAAGCATATTTTTCTGAAACAGTTTTTAGTACAGATTACGATTTTGTATTCAAATTTGCTCCATAACCCACCATTTTTCTGCACATTCTCTGTATAACATCCAGCAGAAATCTGCCATTATAGAGTCATTCCAGAAACCTTGGTAGTGCTGCTCCCTTGTTTTGGAAACGCTACCTTGTTCATCACTTACGTCACGGAAGTTATCAGGGAAGACATCTAAACAGGAGTGTAGAAAGTTAAGTTCTACAGCCCATTTTTGAAGTGACACTAAAGTCTTTTGATTCCATTAACAAAATCGAATGATTTGTTTTTTACCAGGAAATGTTCACTCATCTACTGCAAAACGCTTCAGGCATCTTGTTCTTTTTTGACGCTATCATTTGTGTGAATACATCATCTTTTAAAATTTCCCAGATTTGGGGCGATTCCTTCATTTATGCTGTGCTGATTTGTGGAATTTTTTTCACTGAGACACTGGAATGCCTCTCAGTTTCCCTTAGCTTTCGTGTTCGTTACATAATCATTAATCCATGCT